AGTTTATGTCGTGACGATCTTGCCAGTTAAGAAATGTCCTCTTTCAACAGCGTTCTCCCTAGAATATTAAAGTTCCTTATTCAAGATATTATACTTGAAAATTACGTAGGCTACCTGCCAAACACATCAAAATATCTCAATGGTGAATGAATTTTAAAATATTTGTTGATTTGACTGCTCCATATAGCGATTTATTGCCTGAGTTCTTATTAATTACTGATAAATTATTAAGTTATTTATTGTCTGAGTTCAGCTAAGAAAACACAATACCCACTGCTCTAGGAACTATAAGCTCGTTTGAATCCCGATGATTCAATTTCTTAAAACATAACTCAAAAGAAGAAATATTTCTATTCCATGGTGCAGCTGTTAAGCTAGTCTAATGTAATTCCATCGAGCTAAGGACAAGTGAAATAGATTCAAAAAGTAGTATCAACACCTGTTATTTTTTCCGAATGTTTTGTTCATCAAAACTGGCCTATACGCATTTAAATTTTAGCTAAAATATACTTTCTGCTATTATTTAATGTCTAGTTAATTTTCTTATGGGTTTTTGCAAATTACTTAATGGAAGTTACAGTTACACAAGCGAATATTTCCATGCAATTAACCCAAATCTACAGCGCCATTTCATATAACGCACGCGCATTTATTTATTGCATTTATTAGGCATTTATTTATTATATAATATATATATATTCATTCCACTCAAGAACTCTTCATTCGTGAATTTCATTTTAGTTAAAAAGTTAGCAGAAACATAAAACGTAATACTTATTAAATACGTTATAAAATTCGTACTGTTGATGTAACAATACATGGTTGAACTAATATATAGTTCAAACATGTAACAATAGCCGGAAACAATTGGTAGCACGGTTCTGATGCGATATCAAAGCGTGTGTAGCAGGAATTTGTTGTGTTTGTTTTGTAGTTCAGCACAAAAGTTTTTAGTAACAATCACATGGATTATTTGAAGAATATATTGTTTCGATGCCCCACAGTACTTTCAACACAGGACAACGTTATGCGTGCTGATGCACCGGACACAAAGATCACACTGGGCGATGGAGACCCGAGAAGCCCCGTGTTTATTTTCAAGCTCAATTCTATGGAGGTATCAGTGGCACTTCACCTGTCAATCTCACCAGCAGGCTGCCGGTGCGGGCACCAAATCTGCATGAACATATTTCTCCTGTTCTTCTTCATCAACAAAGTTTATAGGAATATTTTATTCGTTAATTTCTCTGTAAGCATGACCACAGACTCATTGTGCTCGAATTGACAGGATTTTTGCTTCATAAAAGAAATTCGTCCAATAGAAAGTTAGCAGAAAAAACACTGCTTGAACACGCAGCGTCCGGCGGGGAGGCCCAGCGATATGGCTGCCGCCACCGAGCCAAGCAAGGCGCGAGTTCTCTGCTATATTATAAATAAAATATAACTCAGTACTCACTGAAGTGAATGACAGAGAGCGCATTTTCTCGTCGACGAACACTTGAGGTCACGGACGGACGGACAGACAGACAGACGGACATGGCGAGCACAATAGTGCATTTTTTCCATAAATGAGAAAATGCTCTAAAAATGAGAGTTGGACACGGCCAGTTACCCCCCGAGGAGTGACCAGCCTTTTACAATGATAAGTTTAACTAAGCTCCTGCAGGCTACTCTGCTGTTATAGAAACTTTTACTCAGTATACCGCAGTATATTTTACTCAGTATAAATATTTTTGCAGATACGTAGCATCTTCCCCGGATGATATATCGGGGTATAAAAAGCGATCGTACCAAGCGATGATCCACTGTTTAGAAAAAATATGTGCCAAACTTGACATGTGGAATAACTATACACAAGGCAGCGCTTAGCAGACCAATGAGTGCTTTGTCAGCAAAATGAAAATAATGGGCATTACCTATAAAAAGCTGCGCATTTATACATTCTTAAACTTGCATTGAATCTAGGTTTATTTACAACTATCTCAAATATCGCTATTTCTAATATTCATGATCAATTTGTTTGAAAAATTCAAATATCAGGGCGATTAATATTTATCGTAGAAATAATTTCAAATTTAACATTTGGTTTTCCTTTGTTTTTGGGCTATGCAGGAGCATATGTTCAGTCTTGAAATGCCTAGCAAATTACGGACCAGGCAATAAGTCCAGCAGCTATCTCAATCAATCGTCAGTTATGGAAAGATTGGGTTCCAAAGGCCGGATCCCTTGTGAATCAAGTCACGAAAAGTACAAGAATCGGCAGCAGGCTATGGGCCTATTTCTTCAGTGCCGACAATTTTATTTTATTCTATACCTTAATGCAAAAAACATCCAAAACTTTATTGCTAATATTTATTCTTCAAGAAATACTAATTTAGCTATCAATAACATTGAAAATAAACAAATTGCAGTTGTTGACGAAACCAATTAATGCTGTTTAATCTAATAACGAGATGAGCATTATTTTAAATGGCCCAGCTAGTCACGGGCGACTCTTTCAAGTTCTTTCTCAAGCTTCACCGCGGCTTGCTACTGATGATAATTTAAACTATCCCAAGTAAAGATGTCTTTTTAATAATATTCTATACATTTTCCTACTCTGTATTACAAGTGTTATTTAAACTTTAAAATTCAATCGCCATATATGGCGTTTTGAATTTAACGTCGCATCAACCACACTCTGAATGCATTAATTTCGAAACACGGCAATTTGGAATTCATATAATAACAAATAATGGTCGCCGTGTACAGGTCTTTGTATTTAATTACGTGTATTAATGCCACGTATAACGTGAAGTTCTCTCACGTTATCATCACGTCAGCTCAGTTCTTCACTCCCCTCGCCCTGTACAGGTCATTGTATTTAATTACGTGTATTAATGCCATGTATAACGTGAAGTTCTCTCATGTTATCATCACGTCAGCTCAGTTCTTCACTCCCCTCGCCCTGTACAGGTCATTGTATTTAATTACGTGTATTAATGCCACGTATAACGTGAAGTTCTCTCATGTTATCATCACGTCAGCTCATTTCTTCACTCCCCTCGCCCTGGCTCGGCTCCAAGAACGTCAGGCGCATCACATCAAGTCGTGGCTGAGACGTGACGCTATTTCTTGTCGTAGAAACCTAATACGACGCTCCGACTCTTTCGTTGTTGATTTTAATCTATTCACAGTGAGTTAATTAGATAGTTTATATTACTCGACAATTTCATTTATGTCTGGACAACATACCTGAAACTGCAGCTAAAAGAACACTGCATGACATTTTTTTTAATTTTGGTATTTATTTACTAGTTATTCAATTATTTATTTTTGTTCAGGAATTAAATTTTCGTCGCCAAGGGTTACATTTTTATCGTATAATTCTTAACGCTTAAAGCCTGAGTTGACTTTCTCCATTTTTCTATATATTCCCTATGTACGGCGCCAGAGGTTTACTATAGTCATGCGATAACACATACTTTACAATATTACATTGTCAAGTTACGATATTTATAAATAATTTAAATCGGCATAAACACTTTTTGGAGTGGCGGTGTCAATGAAATACCATTTATCAATGAGATTTAAAAATTTTAAGCGAAACAAAAAGAAAATTTTACGTAATTTTGATCATTTACTTTGTATGATTTATGATGCAGTTATAAGTAATGAATCTTAATTAAAATAAGTTCTTATTTATGTTTCAATGATGAAATGAAGCGGAATTATAACTATTATGTTTCAAACATCTCGCATCACTCAATAAATTAAAAGAAAATTCTTCGCATACAAAACCCATACAACGCAAAATTTCCAGATTTCAAATGAACTGAAAGCTGTTTAGTAAGTAGAATCTCTTTCACACTTTCATTCTCAAAGTCACACTTAAAATTAAAATATAAAAGTTTGGAATATAACGTTAGCGAGTTGAGCTGAGGTTACGTTTGTTCCGAGCGTAGCTGCTAACTTCTCGGAATTTTATTCAAGTGCGTATGTATGATTTATTGATAAAAAATATAACTCAGTACTCACTGCAGTGAGTGACAGAGAGCACATTTTCTCGTCGAAGAAAACGTGAAGTCACGGACGGACAGACAGACGGACAGACGGACGGACAGACGGACGGACAGACAGACGGACATGGCGAGCACAATAGTGCATTTTTTCCATAAATGAGAATATTTCCTAAAAAGATAATTCATAACATCCGAACATACACTACAACCAAAATCTCAGTAATGCTCAAAGTGTTAAGTAGTGTTAAAGCCTGCACAGTTGATACGATCGAGCGCCCGTGCTGTGGTCATGCGCTGCAACTATACAGAACTACATTAACTCGATTCTAAGCTATTACCCAATTGCAAATTCGTATAATTATCGTTGATAGCAAATCTCGAAATGATTTTTCTTTCACAGATTCATTAAATTCCTATGTTGTGCCTTTGATCAGGCTCATGATGAATTCTTAATATTCTTTCAAGCGATAAACTTGCTACTTACAACTCAACAATTAATTTGTAGATTATTTGATGGTCTTCAATGACGTGATATCCCATATTTTATGTAGTTTAAATATTCAATTATCTCAAAGTTTCTCGAGCATTTTACTAAAAGTCGCGCGAGTAAGAATCCAATCACTAGTAAAAGCAAGAACCACTTAATTAAAAAATATTTTCAAGCAGACAGTAGACCTGCTGCTCGAGTTGTTACTGTTCATTGATTTTAAAATCTTCAGTGAACGAAATCACGTGTACAGTCACACGTAATAATTTAGCTTCATGAGACAAAACCCATGCAAAATTAACTCGCTCAATTGAGACGAAGCTTCATATTTGTTTGGGTGGACATTGAATTTTCTGCACTAAAAAATTTATGAGTGAATGAATCCATCATGGCTCAGCCTGATAATGGAAGCCTTTCTTCGATCAGAAATATGATTGCAATATATAATCTTTAATATGGACCACAAATCATGCTTAATTTAAAATTATTACGTACAAATTGCTGGCACTCACCTTGTAGCCCGTTTCACGGACGGATATTTCAGATGTTCGGGTGATTTTGGTCACCTTCCTCGATATGGTCGTCTGAGTCACCTCCATTCTAACAATTTGTTCCACCGAGGGACTCACGACAATCCCCTCAAAAGATTATATTTCTGATCTCAAGAAGTTCTCCGCCCGTAAACTCACGAGTCTCACTTCTCCGCCCGTAAACTCAAGAGTCTCACTTCTCCGCCCGTAAACTCAAAAGTCTCACTTCCCCGCCCGTAAGGCGTAAACTCAAGGAATTTTAATGAAAACAGTTTTTAGAGGCAGATCCCCCACCGCACTGTCACCCACTGTATCACGTTACACTGTTGCTAGCAACACTGTGGAGTAGAGGACCTGGATATCAGTATGGGCCAATTACATGTTAAAACTCAATACAAAATAAGCACCAAACGCAGTAATCTTGTTGATGAAGAAATTTATTATGCGTGTATTACGGTCAAACGTAAAACATTAGTACGCCTTTCAAATGAAAACTGTTCTAATAAATTTACTCTGCATATCAAGAAGAGGCAAACGACTGCTATTTCAATCTGTGCTTAAAATGGTGCATAAAATGTCAATTGTGTATTTTGCAGTTCAATTTACTTGAATTTAACGATAGAAAAACGTAATGGTAATTAGCAGGTGAACTTAATTTTGTTAATATGATCCTGCATTGAGGTAAGAATACCTGATCGAACAAAATAGTTAATCATTTTTGAAGAAAAAAATCCAAACTCCTGTTTAAAACTTAAAATGATGTACATTCTTAATTAAGGACATAGTTAATGAAAGAAGAACAAGAAATTTCCAAGAGGCCTTGAATATTTATATGGACAGGGCAGTTCAGGGTCTGAAGGATTGGAAGAATTAATTCACTGATCAAGGAGGAATCGTGCTTTTTCAGGCGCATTTGTAGTTTACATCAATAAATGTTAGGTAAAATATCACTATTCAGTCCCATTTCTCTATACAATTTAGCGAACGTTTATGAAGCAAGACGAACGAGGATCGAACTATCTAATTCGTAACTTCTCGGATCTAAATCACGTAACTAAGTGCTGAGGTTTTCTGAATCAATAATGGAGGATCAAATGATTAAATAATTGATTGGAATGTCTTCTGAAGCTAGAGAGAAGTGAAGCAGTGAATGGGCTAAGAGGCGCTCATGCAGTAGCGCTGCCAAGAGTCGGCACGAATATAACCTCTGGGGGCAAGCTGCTGCAGCTGTCCACTGAGAACCACTGCACGAACCAGTGGCAACACTGCATCACGTCTACCTTGTGTGGCAACACTGCACGAACCAGTGGCAACACTACATCACGTCTACCATGTCGTGTGGCAACAATGCATCACGTCTACATTGTCGTGTGGCAACACTGCACGAACCAGTGGCAACACTGCATCACGTCACCATGTCGTGTGGCAACACTGCATCACGTCTACCATGTGTGGCAACACTGCATCACGTCTACCTTGTGTGGCAACACTGCACGAACCAGTGGCAACACTGCATCACGTCTACCATGTGTGGCAACACTGCATCACGTCTACCTTGTCGTGTGGCAACACTGCATCACGTCTACCTTGTCGTGTGGCAACACTGCATCACGTCAACTTTTTCATGTGGCAACACTGCATCGCATCTACCTTGTGTGGCAACACTGCATCACATCTACCATGTCATGTGGCAACACTGCATCATGTCTACCTTGTGTGGCAACACTGCATCACATCTACCTTGTCATGTGGCAACACTGCACATCATATGGCAATACTGCATACATATATACTGTATGTATGAAGCAGTGTCTACCTTGCCATTACCACACCGCTTTATTGTCAATAAGATGAACAGAATTCCTCCTCATGTCCTAAAGTGAGAAGCTTCATTTCATCATTTATAGATTTTCGAGAAATTTATTACCACACTTTATTCATGACTGATCCGTTCAACCAAATCTTTTTCTCCAGTATTGAAGAGGCTCACTTCACTCTTTAATCTCTCTTCACCAGGTAGGAAGAGTCTCACTTCACTCTATAAGCTCTCTTCACCAGGTAGGAAGAGTCTCACTTCACTCTATAGTCTCTCTTCACCAGGTAGGAAGAGTCTCACTTCACTCTATAAGCTCTTTTCACCGGGTAGGAAGAGTCTCACTTCACTTCATAATCTCTCTTCACAAGGTAGGAAGAGTCTCATTTCACTCTATAATCTCTCTTCACCAGGTAGGAAGAGTCTGATGGCTATAATAAATCATCTTCAATCATTGACACAATCACAAGAAGTGCCAGATTTCAGCTGTGTGTTCACCTAAGCTGCGTTGTGCAGCGCGCGATGTCTCGCGTCTTGAGACGACGTCTCGAGGCTCGTAGCGAGACACAATTTATTGCAGCACCTGCGAGACTCGTGACGTCACTTTCTCCCATGGCCGCAAACTTCTTTGTACATATTACTCGGGCCTTATATATGATTATTTCTTCTTTATTTCTATTTTGAATTGGTAAGTGCTCGTGTTCAGAAAATTATTTGGATCGTTAATTTTTCCCTTAGTGAAGTAATCACAAACACTAGAAGATGAATTTAACCTGATCGATCCAAAATTTATTATCATCAGTAAGGTTATTATCAGTAAGGTATAGTTATTTATTAGCAACAGTAATAACTAATAACTATGCATAAAAATTTTCCCAAGAAGAAATTGACCTCGTATGTAGTGCCTCTTAGGTTGGCTGCGCCTCGAGGGTTGATTCACACTCGAAAATCTCGGCAATTGATTCCGAAAATTTTCAATGTTTATATAAATCGTGCACAATTAATCTGCTTCTTCCACTTTCATTTCATCAATCAGTATCGGGTTATTCAAGTTCATCAAAAAAAATGTCAAACCAGAATTCAATGAATTTTAACTTGTTCCAAATAGTATTTGCATGCACATTTTACCTACATTTTCGTTCGCTTGCACCGTGAGAAAAACCACTCGGCAAAGGCACGTCTGTCAAGAGGTAGGAGATGAGATGTCACCTCTTAACAGCCCTTCTTGACAGCTTCGCTATTCTCATTTTTAAATATTATAAATAACTTCGATCTTAACATGACATTGTTAAGATTCATGCATTAGTTAAGATTCATTGAATAGCGTGTCATGCACGCTATCCTTCTTTCCTTCAGTAGAAACTTTAACGGACTAATGAATTACTTCCTTCATTGTTGTTTTCACAATACCGCCCGCTGTTGCCAGTTACTTTGAAATGAAAATCGATTACAATTTTTAATTATCGTGACAACATTTTTCAGAATTGAAAATAGTGGAATACCATATCAGAATCTCAATTTAATTTTACAGAAAACCCATTTTCAGAGTGAATATTAATTTAAAAATTCAATTTGTTGCCATATCACGATACGTTCATTATAAACTTTCTCTTGTGGTAAAAATGACAATGGTTTTTTCAAAAACCGAATTTGATTATATCTATAAGAACACTACCACTTTCGTCCATTAAAACAAGTACAATGTAACTGCAGGCATCGCACTGCTGTTGACCATCACTAAATTTTATTTGGAAGATAACACTCGAAGACGGACACATTGAATTGATTACACTACTGATGGTATATTCCATTAATTTATTTGGAATATCGCGAAATCCATAGAGAAAGCGGAGCGGCACAATATTAACTCTAAATTTGTGTTTAGCTTCAATTTTTTGGCCACACGATCCACAGCGTTGATCTTTGACAGCCTGATGATCGTTGACAAAATTATTCACCAATACAAGATTATGTAATTATCAACTTGAACGCGTTTACGCCGATCATACGCTTGACAGAACGCTTCACCACTCTCACAACTGTATTTCTATCGCTAACGTAATGACAGAAAGTTCGATACCGTAACTCGTATCAGATAAGCGGCGCAGAGACGCTCTTGTCGTTGCGACCACGGAATGCGGCAAGACTGTGAAGCTCCGCCGCGACGAGGCTTTCCGCACTTTAGTGGAGCTGCTAATGGCGGCCGCCCAACCTACCCTCCACGTCACACTGCCTTCGCTTGTACATAGTGCTGCCTAATGTTGTGCGGTCACTGTGATATATTTCTTAGTAATTTCTTGGTCTCACTTTAACATATTTTGACATATTTTGCACTGAGTCCTCTTGGTGAGTTGTGCTGTCTAAATATTAGCTATTGCAATGCCCATTTCTACATAGGTTGCTATGCTACCTACGTACATCTGTGAAGCAACGCTGTTTGCTTATTAAGGTACTGGCGCTGCTTTTTCTGGCTTGTTGGGCTTCGTGATTTTGCGCCAGTTCATCTTTACGCTCTTGTGTCCGATCAGTTGAAAAACGTTGGTGTATCAAATACATTCTTCTTGCCCAGCATTTAACGTCAAACTAGGCGCTACCTTGACGTTTTACCTAAATATTGCAATTAATGCTTAAGTAATACCTATACTGCGGTACTGACTTCCAGTTTTATCTATTTAGGCTGCTAGTAGACTCGCACTAGGCTTCTGCAGTACTAACATTAACAATACACCTTCTTTTTATCTTAAAGGGGTCTTATAAAGTACAAAACTTTACACCAAAATTATGCATATTCGCTTCACCGCACTAATTTTCATCAATTTGGCCTGGTGGGTGGCCACCATTCTACTGGTATTGTCCGCCATGATGTCACCACGCGGCGCTGGCCACGCACTTTCCTCGCACAGGCGATCGACGCGCCGAGAATGTCAGGATGTTATTCTCAGCGCCCAGGGCCCATACTTTCAAAAAAAAGTTAAGAGATCGTAAGTTCATCAGCCAATCATTGACGGCCTTTCAAGCAAAATCCACCAATCATAGACAAGAAAATAGAGCGTAAGTACTTACGTTCACTTAGCGAGTTTTGAAAGTATGGCCCCACTGATCGTTACCTGGGGTGACAGGCACGCATGCCCACACCTGGTGGGATATTAGGAACAATGTCCATGCTAGGATTATTTAAGGTTAACGTAAATCTTATGAAATTATTGAAGAATAGATTCGAAGAAATAATAATGTTATTAAATTAAACGCAAGAAAAGTTTCACAACATCGAATACAAGAATCAATTTACTAGAAAACCGAGAACGTGTCATTATTTTATAGTCTATCAAGGATTTCCTCGACGATATATAATTTAAAATAATTTTAATAAGTGCCAAAAAATCCAGGAATAAAAATAAAACATTACGAGCCTCCATCGAATATTTGCAGGATTGCAGATTCAAAAAGAGATTTAAATTCAATTCAAATTCATTCATTGACTGAGGATAGATGACAGGCAAATTTGTACGTAGAAGTTGGTATAAACTTGTTATCATAATAAACTTCTAATATATCACTAGCTAAA